TCTTATTGTTGAATTGTATTCAATTAAAATCAACTGATGACTTTAATCAAATTCTTAGAAGAGAATATTCTATTCTTTCTAAGCAACTCAATATAATCATACAAAATATTTCATCTGATCTTCACATTTAAAATGAATATCAATATTTTCTCTGTTATCTTCTAATGTATCAATCTCATTGTGATTTTGTCTTCTTTTTTGTTTTCTTACATCTATTTATTGAAAAGAAAGTGTATGTTGATTTACATGTATCAAATGAATATATAAAATAAAATGTTTCATTAGAGTTGAGAATATTGCTGAATGGCATGACATTAAGACTAAATAGAGTACTATGAAAGCCAATCTTTGGGTTTAAAAAGAAATAATATTTCTTTTAATATGAAAATAATTGCATTTATTCATCACATCTGTCCGTTAAGTCTCCATTGTCTTTGAAACCTTTAGTTTGTCTCTTTCCAAGATGATATGTAACTACTTCTATCAAAAGTTCTTATTACGTCGTTCTTATCACACCTTGGTAGTTACATATAGAGATAAGAAATTGAATCTCGACAAGATATTCGACGACACATAACGCACACACACAAGAATACTTATAAGATAACAAAATATCTCAAAGCACACACATTTAAGTGAAACATATTCATGTCGCAAGCAACAGCATCAACCTCTGACAAGATGGTTCTATCGCTTCATACATTACCGATCGAATTGGTTTATCACATTCTCGATAACCTTCAACCAAAAACAATTCTACTATCATGTAGAAACGTTTGCACAAAACTCAATGCCATCATAGATACGTATCATCCGTATCAGGTAATCTTTGGTTTTATTATAAAGTCACATTTTTATCACCTCTCCAATGCTTCGTTTTCTTCTAGAAAATATATTATTTGATTTATTTTCTTGTTTCTGATTTTAAATGAATAGATTTCATACGATAGTATTCTATAGAGGAATATTCATAAACATTGTCAAAAATTGTTTAAATCTCAAAATTTTCCACGAAGTCTTGGAAAATATAGAAACAAATTACCAATTTTTCTAAGATGTCGAAATTATTTTTTTCAATTAGACAGCATTTGAGTTTCATTGAACTGTGAGGTGTGGTGCGAAGCAGGCCTCGAAACGAGTCACCCGGTTCCGAGAGATTTTTCTTCCGAGCTGAATGAGCCTAAATTTCTGTTGGGCCACCCAGCTCGAACTTGATTTCTTTTTACATGGATGTTTTCCCACGTAAGCAAAAAGAGAAAAACGATAATATTAATCGATTAATAAAGACTAAAATAAATTGAAATCTATCTTTAAACCTGAACAATTGGATGTCAATCAAAATTAAATAGCATCATTTTAATCGCGTTTATTCTGGTTTTTCATCAAATTTTTTGCATGGGTTATGCACTTTGCAATCGATCAGAATCGGGAGGCTTTGCTATACGAACGCTTTCAAAGTTTTATGCAGGCAATAAATATAAACAGAGCGCTTATTCAGCTCGATGACGTCACTCATCTCAAAGAGATAAAAAAAATGAGACTTCAGTAGTTCGAAGTACGAGTGAAGTACCGTAATTTCCTTGTACTTCAGAGTAATGAAGACTTGGTTATTCCCTCTTACCTCATCCACGCACCAGACCGAGTGAACTATCAACTGTAGATTATCAAAAACTATTGATATCTTATGTATGCGTTGGTAAAATCATTGTTGTACCATCCTTGAAACGTCGATTGATACGTTAACATATAAACAGGCTTTAGATGAATACTAACTAACATACTCTTCCAAATATTCCGATTTATTGTGATAATCCTTAATGATTTTCGTGATGTAAATAACTTGCAAATCATAAAAATCAGCTATTTCTCCTTAGTTACTCTCAAGTGGCTAGAGAAAAATTTTTAAATAAGATTCTTCACCAAGATCCTATGTAGAAAACGGCTAAAAATCTGATTTAAATGGATTTTTATACAAAAAAACACAAAAAAATCGATTAAACATGACAATTTCTGATTAAAGTTGACAACATAATCAATTATAATAGATTTTATCCGAAAATAATCTATTAAAATCGATTATCCCAGAGAAATCTGAAAAAACAGATTATTAATCAAATCCACTAAATCTGATTTTGAAAATAATCCGACAAAGTCAGATTCTACCAAACAAATCTTTAAAAATCGATTTTAATTCGATTTTTAGACATTTTTTTACATGAAAATTTCTCTCTATTGTTGATTTAAGCTACATACCACAGAGAGCAAACGATTACAATTGTCAGGACACTCTACAAGCGGTTCGAATTATAGACAATCAGTTTTAATCTGTTTTTGGTTAAATACTGGAACTAAACCATATCATGTAAATTAATCAATTTTAATCGATTTGAATCCGAAAACATCAGTTACAACAGATTTTTAAAATGTAACCGATTTTTGATGTAATTACACCATCTCAATTCGAAATAATTTGTATTAGGGGTTTCAACTTTATCTTATCTGAGTGACTTTAGCTCAGTGACAAATTCATAATTATGAACATAAGTAATCTAAATAACCATGGAAAACTAAAGATATGGTGTTCGAATCTCGAAAAGTAACCAATTGGATGTGTATTATTAGAATCGATTACCAAGTAATAACAGATTAAAACTGATTAACAGGTAATAATGGATTAAAATTGATTAACTGGTATTCGGTGTAAATGAAATCCGAAAAATTTGATTTTCGTAGATTTTTTTTGTCTATAAATATAGATTAATACGGCACGATTGTAATCAGATTTTAATCAGTTTTTTAATCTTAAAAAATCGATTACAATGGATTAGAACTCAAAAATCGGTTATAATCGATTTCTTCAAATAAAAAATTTGATTAAAATTTGATTAAAATCGTGGCATTCTAATTGATTTTTATTCACAAAATAATTGATCATAATCTGAAATTTGACCACTTTTTTCCTACGTGGACGCATCACATCAATTCCTTGTCATAGGACTATTTACATAAGACGTATTCAAAAGAAGAGAAAAAAGGCTTCTTTTTATTTACAGAAAATCAAAATGTTCACTCTATTTATTTAAATTTACTTTTCTAAAAAGATGCTTGATAATAAAGTCTTCGCTGTGTTTCAAATGAAAATCACTCAATAAATAAAACATGATCAACAAAATATAAAAATATTTTTCTAGATTGTTTTGAAAGAAAAAAAATTATTTGTTCTTTTCATTAAGATTATCTTACGATATAATCAAGAACGGGATATTTCTATATATAGGGATCAAACATAATATGAGATTGAACAGACATAGAAAGATCTCTAGAATTTATCTCACTTATATTATTGTATTGATTAAAGATACCTATGAAAAAAAATTTACGAAAAACTGCATTTGAATGCGTTTTCTTCGGCACGCCTATTTCCTCTATATATTTAACGCATATTTTTAAACGCGTTGAAATGTGTCTTTTTCGATAAAAAACGCAAATAAATATTAGAAAACGCCCTCTTTACGATGCGTCTTATTAATATCTAATGCATTTTTTTTCCTGCTATTTATATCCATTTATCCTATTCTTATACTTACAGGTTTAGGCCTGATTCACACGACAGAAGTGAATACTGTATTAAGAAATATTGTTAGTCGAAAAGTAAATGGACATTTAATACGCTTTATTTTAGATTCTCATTCATACATTGACTTATAAATGAAGACACACATCAACTTTGTATAGTATTAACATCATATTAAATTGACGGTGCATCTTCACTTATAATTTAATATATCAATCCAAATCCAGAATGAAGTGTTGCTTGCTTTAGTTCAATTGAACACATGAACCGAATTGAATTTTGTTTGGTGTACTAAATTAAATGGGATTTTGAACAGCGTATTGACTCAATACACATTTCAAAAATGTATTCATTTTTCAATCAACCACGTTTCTTAATAGAATATTAACTTGCGTAACATGGACTAGGCCTAATACATATAGGATGATAGTAATATCCTTACACTTATGTGGGTACAGCTATACTCTCAGATCTATATCCATCAGATACATTTCTTATGAATTCTTGTTTTTATTTCTAATAATAAGTCTGCACCTTTTTAAATTGAACTCAACATCTCTTAGAAACATGTAAGGGATATAAACGAAAGAGAAAGAAATAGATATATACCCCCCAAAAAAAAAAGTTTCAGTCTGTATTTCTCATTTATTGTCATTATAAAGATACATTTATTTAAAAGTAATTACGTATTCTGAAAGCCCGTGGAGTTTTCTATCACGCTGTATATTTACTTATTTTCTTCCGTTCATTTATTGAAAAATAGTTTGAGCACAA